AATGCATAAATGCAAAAATAAGAATGCAAAATGTGCAATGCAAAGATGTAAACATAAAAGTATAAATACAAAATGAAAATGCAAAGATGCGAAATGCAAATGCATGTATGAAAAGGTGTTACTCAAGAGTGATCATCTTAGAACATATTTCATTGAACACAAAAGCTTCGGTACATCAAACAAAACTGTTACATGTAGGGGATAGCTTTCACTCCTAACTTCTATATTACCCTTAAAAGCCAAATTAACTTCCACTCATGCTCAGGTGTGGAGTTATCAATCTGCTTTAATTCTCTCGTGAAGCCAGCTATATCCACCAGCTTATGAGCCATGTTGCTTGCTTAAACAGAAACTTCCTTCACGACATTGTCTTTTTCCTTCATCCTCTGTGTCAACTCTTGAAGTTGTAAACAATATTGTTCATTTTTTCTTGTACAAGATCTCCATAATCATCTAAACATTTCTTCAATGTCTTGTTCTTGTCGATAGTGGCTTTTAATTCAGTATCAATCTCATGCTGATGAATCTGATATGATGCTTCCATGTTGGTCATAGCACTATTCAACATTTGATTTTTTGCTTGACATTTTCCCAATTCAATGACAGTTGTATTGCATCTTTCTTCTGCAACTCGTGAATTATGATAAAACTTCTTGGCTCGACCTTCATGTATGTTACAGTTCTTTTTCAGTTTGGTGACCCTTGTTATCCACTCTTCTGGGGTGTTCCCTATACCAGCATTTTGAAATACTTGACTGACCTTCTGGAAATCTTCCAGTATGCTTTCCATTTCGGTTCTCAATTTATCGTTTTGATCATTCAAATGACGTATTTGAGCTTCGAACCACATCAAATCTTCTTCCTTCTGGACATCCCTACTGATGCTCTTACCTTTGAATACATTTGGTGTTAATCTGGCAGGATCTTCAGTTACCAAACTAGGTTGATCATTTATCATAAACTGCAAGATTCCCTGATCCAAAAGACTTTGGACTCGATATTTGAAAGCAAGACAATTGTCGATGGTATGTCCTTGAGCTCTGACATGATATTCACAATAAACGTTGATGTCATACCAATTCGGATACGGAGGTTGGAACGGTTTTATGCAGTATAGAACCACTTCTCGCGCTTCAAGTAGCTTCTCATATAACTCTTTATATGATATAGGGATAACATCAAAATGAGAACCACCTTTTATCTTGGATTAAACCTGAGTTTTAGACGTCGGGAGCAGACCAAACTTCGATGATTTCAGATTACATGATTTCTTCTCATCTCTAGGAGCTTTTACAGTGGTCACCATTTCTTTGGTATCTCCAGACGATTTGTGAATACGAATGATGACTGTCTGTAATTTCTCAAGTTGGTTAACATCCGAAGTCCCTTGCGTATCTGACATTGCAAGGTTAAGTTCATTGAGCTCTCTCTCTTTCTGTGCAGGAATTTCTTTTCCTTTGTCCAAAATAGATATTCTATCCATCATCTTGGTCATTTTCTTTCTTATTTCTCGTATCTCCTTTTGCTTTTCAATGGGCATATGATCTTTGGGTGCATAGTTTGCTTCTATCCTCGGAGTTTCCTCAGGATGTCCTTCATTGGTCGCATTATATTTTGTTTGATCATAAAACTTTTTGTCCATTTACGATTTCTTTCCAATTTGATGAACCGTCTTTCAAGTAAACACCTTTTGGTTATGCTATGATCATGCAATGCAAACAAAAGAAATAAGAAAAAAAATAGAATAGTTAGTACCAATTAATAGAAAGAAAAGATTCTATCTATCAAGGTATAAAAATCCTAACCTCATGCTTTCTAGTTCCATGCTTTGTTTGGAAGAAATTAACCTAACTGCATGATTTCTAGTTCGCATGCATTTATTCAGAAAAAACAAAAGGAAATAAATTAAAAACTAGAGCTTATTTCTCATTTGTGTACACCTATGGACAGAGGTTCAGTACAGCCTTAGGTCAGGAGAATTTCTAGGGTTTATTATATGCAGGGTTTCAGTTCTAAGAGTAAAGGTACTCGAATTGTCCTTGTCAATGCCCCCTTGGGCTGTCAAACCCTCAATCCTAGTCCATCACAGACTTAAGTGGATCGAGTTCAATTCGAGAGGGACACATTTCTTTATGCCTGACACGAAGAATAAATTCTCACGAAGACATAGAGCATATGAACCCCGAAAGTTACTTACTAAGCCTGACACGGAGAATAAATTCTCACGAAGACGTCGCTTTCACTCCCACTTAAAAGGGACAAGCTTGATTAGAAAGCTTATGTTATACAATGCAAGTGTTGTATGTGAATAGAAATGTTCAAACCTCAAACAAATAAAATAATTAATACCTGAATAAAAAAATATTAATAAAATAATATAAAAATAATAAGTAATAAAAAAATTGAAAGAAAAGAATTAAAAAATTAAATATATGAATTTTTAATTTCTAATTGATAAAGTCAATTTACAATTAATTTCAAAGCTTGACCAGGTCCCCAGCGAAGTCGTCAAGCTGTCGTAACCGATTTTCGACCGGGCACGAAATTTTTACTTGGCGGGAAAAATAATGTGAATAAATGGTTTTTAATTTTAAAAATGTTTTGGGAGTCGCCATCGGCCTTTTGGGTCAGGTAGGTCGAATACCTAAAAATTATCTTTTAAAAGAGTTTTTAAGAAAACATCAGTTAAAAGATAAACTGATATGCGTTTAACCAAAAATTCATTCTTTTTAGAAATAAAAAAAAGATTCTTGGTCGGTTACGTTTAGGGAAGGATTAGCATCCCTACAACGCCCACAATTGGTACTTTATTAATTATAAATTCTCTATTATTAGAAATTTAAAAATTCAAAGATATATTTAATTCATAATTCTGTTAAGTTTATTAATATAATTTTAAGATAATATATTAATATATATTTTTTATTAAACAAGATATTTTTTTTATTTAGAAATATCAGAAAAGGGCTTCTAGGTGCTTTAAGAGAGCTCCTTTCTTAATATTAAAAAATAAATAAATTTTAATAAAACATTTATCTAAAAATAATATAAAAATAGATTTATATATTAAAATAAAAAATATCAAAAAATAGACATCCAGTTATTTTAAGACAACCATTTTATTTGATATAAAATAAATAAATATTAAAAAGAATATGATAATATTTCTTAAAAAATAATTTAAATAAAAATAAAATATATATATATATATTTATATATTTTTAAACATGACTAATAATCACCAATATATTTCCATTTTGAATACATTACAACACGTGACTAATAATAAAATATATTTCAATAAAGTAAATATATATATTTTAAACACAATCATCTTTGAATACATTACTATACATGCGTGACTAATAATTTAAGAAGTCAAGAATAGTTGAATATCTTTAATAACATACTATTCTCATGTTGATTTTATTACCAATATATTTATAATATAATTATTATCACCTAACATCTATAATCAATAAACAAAACATTTAATATTTAATCATAATTGATTATAAGAAACAAAAATAAAAATTATTAAAATTATAGGGGATAAAAATAATAAATTAAAAATATTGAAATTAAAGGGGCAATAATAAAATAAAATAGTGACCAAAATAAAGAAAAATAAAATTATAAGATTAAATTAAAAAGTAATAAAACTTGTAAAATAAATGAAAGTATTAAAATTAAGGACTAAATTATAACATATTAAGATTAAATGTCTTAATTCGTAATTAATCATTTAATATTTACAATGACTAAACATGCTATTTTACACATTTATTAATTTAGTGATTAAAATAAAATTATATCAAATTCAAATATCAAATTAAGATAAATTAAAACATGCGTTCGAGATTAAAATATTAAATATTAAAATTAAAGGTCTAAATCTATTATTTTACCTAAAATATATATAATTTTGTAAATGACTAAATTATAATAAACTAAAATTCGGGAACAAAATTAAAATGCTCGAAAATTTAATTTAGTGACTAAGATGGAAGTATACAAACTTTAAAGGTTTCAGAAAGGGTTTATCCATAATCTAAATTACACAAAGGTCCCTCTCCAAAACGACGTCGTTTGGAGAGGGATTTAAAAACCCAAAACCTCTCCCTTCTCTCTAACTTCCCTCCCTAAAGGGAAGTCTGGCAGCCAACTCCCACCGTGCTCCGGTGTCAATCACCATCGCCGGCCACCGTCGATGGTGGCCGGAATTTCTTAAACTACCCTAGAATATAGATCTCAACCTACTGAGGTTGAATATTACCTCCGTTTCCCTTAAAAAGCTCCTAATCGGAGCAAATCTACAATTTATACCTTCCGTTTTCGAATGCTTAGGAGGTGCTTGGTGGCTCTAACAACAATGGTAAGTCCCTTCCTCTTCTCTTAGTTATTTTTTTTGCTTCTTTGTGTCGTTGGTGTTGTTGTTGGCTCGTTCTTGCTCCGTTTGTGTCTTTCTCGTTTTTTTTTCTTGTTGTCTTTCTTCCCCCTTGCAGGAAATGGTGGCCATTTATAGGCCTCGTCGAGAGGCTCCTCGGACCGGTCCCATGGGTGAAATTCAGTGAGTCACCGAACTATGTGGTGACTCACCCCATAACTGCAACGTGGACGGTTGTTAAGGTCTTCTGGAGGCTTCTGGTTAGGGCGACAGCAGCTGGAACGTCGACGTGGGTCGACTAGAGGCAGAGGCGACTGAAATCTCCCTAGGGTTGGTGAACCCTAGGATTTCTTGCTGGAGCCGTTGGATCTTGCCAGATCCAACGGTTGATGATGCGGCGGCTAGGGTAGAGATGATAGAAAATCCTAGATGGGTTTAAGGTTTGTTGTTGGGCCAGTCTGGGTTTGATATTTGGGCCTTCTGGGTCTGATTGTAATTTGTAATATATATTTATTTAATAATAAATAATAATAATAATAATAATAATATAATATTAATAATAATAATAATAATAATAATAATAATAATAATCTTAATAATAATAATATAATAAAATAATAATAATAAAAAAAAATGCGAACTAAAAAATTAGTGTCTTACACAATGAACTAGTTCCCTCTATAGTATTCTCAATTAATACATTAAAAGCCTGTATTTGTTACTAGGTTTTGGCAAGAGGTGGAGAATTACCTGCAAGGCATCTCTGCCTGCGAGGCCGTCTAGTTGTTTTCCCCCATCTGGTAAGGCTTCTATCCTCCAACCTCACTTCGATGTCGTTAAGCTGCTGCACCAATGTCGTGGACGTTGTGTCAGCTACCGAAGCAGGAGAGGAGTTGTTAGTAGCTACTGACAGTCGCCTCCGCCTACCATGCCCGCTTCTGGTGCCATTTCTTTTTGTCAGTCCAGATTGCCATGAATGTCCCATTGCTCTCATAAGCCATCCAAATGTTTGAATATCTTCTGTTACCTCGTGCCTTGATAGGGAAGCAAGGCCTGGAAGGATGTCCTTTCGGAAGTCCCTCCACTGCCTTCCTCGCCTTCCCTGGCCCTTCCGTGTTCGGGTTGTTAACAAAGGGGTAGTTCCGGTTTCTTCCCCTTTAAAGTTTTCAGGAACCAGAGGTTTGGGCATGTAATCCTCTTCCTTGGTTTCTGCTAATTCCAAAATCATAGATTCAAAGTAATCAATTTCTTCCAAAATAGATTCATCTTGATCCACAATTTTAACTATCGAAATAGCCTCAAACTTGCTCTCAAGATCCTTGCCAAAAGAGGAAATCGTCTCAGAAAACCAATTAAGGGTGTCTATCTCAGAAGTCTCAGACGGATTGAGATTGACATCATCCAAATGGCAGCACAGACCATATGACGAGATGGCAACTATTGCCTCAGCTGCGCTTTTAATAAGTTCATCCTGCAAGCAGTCATCTTTGTTTTGTACTGATGGCAAAGGTAACTCACATGCCTTCTCTGGCAATTCTTCTCCGTGAATAACATCCTCAAGCTCCGGAGCTGGTGGAGATTCCAAATCTATTCCCCCAGCCATCTTCATGCTAGTGCTCCTACCAGAGGGTGTAAAAGAAGCTTCATTATCATCAACACAGGAGTTCAAATCAATTTCAGGTCTTCGACTTGATAAATTTCTCTCTGTTTCCTTCTCTAAGGCTGAGTTCTCTGCAACAGAGTCTTGGCCTACATCGAGAATCGTTGCATCACAAGGTAAGTTAATATCAATTAACCTATTTCTCTCCTTATTTTCTGCTTCACCTTCAAATGGTGCAGGAACAGATACGAATGGGGAGGTCAACGAAGACTCATTCTTAGAAACAAAACATTTTTCATAAAGAGGAGTCCCTAGAATCATTTTACTGCGCAGGAATTCACTTATTTCACTCCTGCTGGCATTGGCATTATCAGAGAACAGAAGTGATTTCACATTTCGTGTCAAAATTTGATTGAAACCATCTCTAATCTCATTTTTTAAGGTCAACTGCTTTGTAGAAGATTGAGAGAAGCTCAACTCTACAACAGGGAAATCCCTTCCTTCACTAGTGGCCTCATTCTTACAAGCAGGCTTGGCTCGTAACCATGGCAGACCTGGAAGATGGTCCTCATGCTTTCTTCCTCCATCTATTTGACGACCTTGCTGCAAAACCGGTTCGATAGATGAACCGTTAGAAAGCAGCGCATTCAAATTCATATCAGTTCTGGACTTCATATTAACACTATTTGGCCAGTTGTATAGCTTAGTTGAATCATGAGTAAAGTGCTCAAAGACCCCCTTACTATCATTACTACATTTTGGGTAATCATAAATGATGGAAGGGAAGCAAATTGCAGGTTCCTTGGACCCGGACGATGATCCATTATAACATCCATTTCGATTGGGCAATTCACCTCCAAAACCAGGGTTAAGTTTAGAATTGCGACTCACCTGCCACTTCTCCCAGAAAATTTCATTGCTTTGCGGTGCCATCATGGAACTCTTACTAAAAGAACTAGATGAATTCAAAAATGGGCGAGTCTGAAGTGACATCGAATTCAGGTGACTGAAAGGCTTTTCCCACGAAGAAACCGAATGAGACCATTGCTTTACAGCATCGGAAAAAGTAAATGGATTCAAACTGGGTACGTCGGAAGTCATGATTGAACCTGGATTACTGTTATTGGAGATTTCACAATTTCTTTCGGAAACTTCTAAACTGTGAACCGTTGTCTCTCTAGAGAGCTCTGCCTTGCTTTGACCAGTTAGCGAAAAAGTTGGAGGATCATGAGCTTTGTCAAAAAGAACCTTTAACTGCTGAGACAATACAGGCAACTTCTCGGACTGAAAACCTTGAGAAGTGGATATTAAGTTGGCTTTACAATGCTCTGCAAAGAAAGACAATATTCACATTAGAAAAAACAAATTACATGTTAAATTATGATCAGGCAGTCCACACTTTTTTCGGTCTGGTATCAAAAAGAAAAAAATTGAGGGAAATATCATTTATTGACCTGCTTCAAGCAAATGGGGAAAGAATCCTCTAGCATTTCCATTGCTTTCAACATGTACATTATTCATGGACCAATTATCACTTTGGCGATGAGAGTTGATAGAAATTTCTTTTGACAAACCGGGAAGCTCTTGCTTTGGTTTCACAGATGGTTCACAGCCTCCACAATCGGGATCTTGGCAGTGAGAGTATGAAGAACCATTGGTTTCTTCAATCTGAATAGGTTCATTCAAGTCGACCAAACTATTTTTTCCCCGCAAATATGTATTGGATCTTGAAGTATCACCTAAGCAACCAGCCTTCCCAACATCACCGGGTGCTGTGTGATCCTTGAACTGTGCTGCTTCTTCAGTATCAATGTACTCATCCGCAGGAAGTTCAAGATCAAATGTTTTCCTTCCCACTTTTGCGGGTCTGCATTCTACCACCTCAACATCATTCGAGTTATCTCCATTTTGGGGCGGAAAGGAACCAGCTTGGATGCTGTTTCCCTTCACGAAACTCAGGGGAGAATGACTACGCTCAACACCAGATACAGATGGTCCAGCACAATTGGAGTTTGCCACAGGGAAGCTGAGGATACACAACTTATGAGAATCTTCGTTTGTAATTTGTGAAGCTAACGGGCTAAATGAAAACGATGGCCCAACAGGAACCTGACTTTTTGGTAATTTTTTCTTTTTTATTTCATCCATCAAGTCCTTTTGTGTCCTATACAAGCGATGAAGCTCATACACCTGGATAAAGACAGAGAACTCCAGATATTTAAATATCTACAAAATATATATACAAATAACACTCAACTTCATCGGAATATTTCAGGCAAAAGCCATACAAAACTAAATACAGGCCCACCTGAGTCCTGAATATTGCCTCATGCTCAAGCATCTTTCGCTTCAAAGCATTCTTATCACAACCAGGATATGCATCTGCAATGGCCCTCGGGAAAAAACCACTGTAATACTGACCATTTATCAAGGTCTTATCACCGCAATAAAGTGGCCAGCTACAACTGCTAGAATCATCGTTTAGATCTCTCATTGAGTAATATCCTGGAAGATAGCTTTTAGACTGCACTTTTGTTCCCATTCCTGAAATCAGTGAACAAGTCTAGGTAATTTGATAAATAGTAAACAATCATAACTACTAGAATCTTAATACTTGTTGGCCTAAAAAAATCACTTGCAGTGTTATCCATTCACATTGTTTATAGCAGAAATCATAGATAATAAACACATATAAACATCGAAAGGGCACTCTAAATTCTCTTAGAATAAAGAAATTCTTCAAAAATGTGAGAAATGTTTTTTTCTAGCAGAGTTGGATTTTGTTAAAAAAGTGCGGAATATTTGTCATGCACCCTACCGCTGCTGCTAACATATGGATCCTATCCCATTTAAGAAATGAATGCATGTGATAGAAAGCAACCCAAGTAACCAAAGATGAAAAACTTGGTTGAATGCCTTGCTGACGGTGATTTAACAAAAAATAATTAAAAAAAGCTTCAACAATAATTGAATGATCCTAAATCCTAAAGAACAGCCTAACAACTTGCTAAAGCACCAAAGATGATTGAAGAAACCACTTTCACATAAAACCAGGTCGCATAGTTGAAGGTCTATGGCATATGCCTGGTTGATGAGCAAATTCAACAGCAACCCAAAGGAAATATCACAAACCATCACAAAAATAAAGGACACATCCGGCTAATAAAAATAATGAACAATGGTTGAAGCCCTAAATTTCGACGTTATCCCCACTTTAAATGATGCATGCTATATCGTCAACTACGTTCTGTAAATATAGTTATCAAAACCAATGAATCGTCACACCTTTGTTTGGTACAATATGTCCATACAATAAAATAGTTCCCATACATAGTTGATAGTTCCAGCTAAAATGTAAAAGAGTTTTGTCCTACATTTATGGAAAGGTATCAAATCATAAATTCATAGCTAATGCCACCAAAAGTAGACACATAAAACCAAGATTTAGGAGTATAATGCAAGTCAAGTACACCATAAATTAAGAACCATGCCCACTTCATATGCATATTGAAAACTCCCAGATAAAAACATAATTTAGCAGGAAAGTTAGGAACCTATGAACAAGAAGGCAAATCCTATTCTATTTATGAAGAAATGGGGACATTGAGATGCTAAATTAGTAGACTAGATCCCACATAACTAATACCTAAACTAATATGACAAATTGCCAAATATTAACATCTAAAATTTCATTGCAAAAGGTATAACACCCATCAAACCAAAATTACCAACAATCCCAACCCAGAAATCACAAAGTACAAAATAAAACAAGATAATAATAACAATAATAATTAATTAAAAATTTATAGTTGAGCTAAAAGGTTCAAATAACACAATTAAAAGAAAAGAGAATCCAAATAACCAAATCATAACGAGATAAAAAAATTAAAAAATCTATAAGTCAAATTACCATAGTGGTGAAAAAGAAAGAAAGAATTTTTACCTCAGACCCACATCCTGTAATCACTCCTCCTTCAAGATTGTTTTATTTCCCCATCATAGATAATTCATAGCTCCCAAGCAACCCCAGAACATCAACAAAGAATAAATCTTTACAGAAAAAATACAGCTTTTACAACCAAATGGGTGTTTTTGTAACACCATTAAAGGAACTTAGATCATCATCAGATTGAATAACAAACAGAAGGAGATTCCGATTTACAGGACCACTCTCTTAAACAAAAAAAATAAAGAATAAAGAATAATTGTTGAAGTCCTGAAATTTGATTTTGTTTCTAGAGAGAGAAGAAAGAAAAACAAGTAGAACGCTTTGGGGTGGTGTTAGAGAGATAATGGAAGAAAGAGTGAGAGAGAGGTCCCATATAAGAAATGAAATCTTTCACACAAACAAAGACTTGAAATTTCCGTTCTCTGCTTTTTCTACACTTCTCCCTCGTTTTTCGTTTTCGTTTTTCGTTTTCGTTTTCGTTTTCGTTTTTCGTTTTCGTTTTCTTCTCCTCGGGTTCTTTCTGAAACTTGACTTGTATAAAATATTATTTATAGAAAGGGAATTTCTAGATTCGCTGCGCCTCCTTTGCTTTCTTTTTTTCCACATATTTAACAAAAGTAATATAAGGCCCTTGTTTTATAAAGCTTTGTCAACTTTTTTTCTTATTAACCTGGTTAAATAAAATATACTATATGTTTAAAAATATTATTTTTTATTATTAATATCATTCAATTCGTGCAGTTCCTTCAAATTTTAAATTACTTTTAATATAATCTTAATTATTCAATTTTGACTTTTAATTCATTTGAAACTACTCATTTCTTATTAAGGTTGATTATTCAATCAAATTGAATAAAAAGGAATTTATGGTAATCGAGTTTATGAATATTTGAACAATTTTCAATGGAGTTATGTAAAACACTTGAAAATAATGATAAAAGATTCAAGAAATTGATGACAAAAAATAATTTATAAAGTTAGAGGAACAAATTAAATAAAATATAAAGTTAAGAGATTATATTATAAAAAAAAGTTGGTCTAAAATAAAAATTTAAGTTACACCGGTATTCTATATATATAAAGAAACATATAGTTAAAATTTGATCAAAATAAAATTAAAATAGGAGAGAACTTTAAAAAATAAAAAATAAATCATAAAAAGTTGATATATTAAATTATAAAAAAAAAAATTACTATAAAAAAGAATTAAATATCAAATCACAAAACAAATAAATTATTTAACTTAAGAACAAAATAATATCGTTATACTAAGTCTGCATATGAGCGTTGTTCGGGGAGTTCAGTGAACTCTGTTGATCCTGGATGGAAAGCCATTTCAGCATTCCAAGGTTTACCTAGGATTAAATCCTTTTTGTGGTTACTTTTTCATGGAAAGATTCTAACCAACGAAGAACGGGTTCGACGTCATTTGAGCAATGATGCAAGCTGTGGTGTGTGTGGCCATGCTCTAGAATCGATCGAGCACTTGCTCCCTTACTGTTCGGTCGCCAAAAGAGTTTGGGATGGTCTTATCAAACCTTAGTGGCTGCATGAATTCATGAATATGGGACTTCGGGATTGTCTCTTGAGGAACCTCACACAACCTTCCTATTTCCCGATCGTCAGCGAAGACTGGGAACTTCTGTTCGATGCCGCACTTTTGTGCTTATGGAAACGTAGGAATGTTTCTGTTTTGAGTACGGTTGCTCTTCCGGAGGACAATATTTTAGTTTGTATTCGCAGGTTACAGACTGAAGCTAGAGAAGCCATCATCGTTCGACTGGGAGGCCCTTCCAGGACCTCAAACACTGTGGTTCGTACCAGTCGATGGAATGCGCATGCTGTCGGTTTAGCTGCTTGCGGAGGAGTCTAACGGGATCATTCAGGAGCATGGATTATGGGATTTATTAAAGCGATTGGAAGATGTTCGGCTTGGGAGGCAGAACTATGGGATTTGTTTGAAGGTTTGCAGCAGGGTTGACGACGGTTAATGGTGGAGACGGACTGCCGAGAGGCTGTTTCAGCTGTGCAGACCGACGAATGGAGGGGTTGTTGAGAAAAAAAATTAAATTACATTGATTGGTTTAATATTTATATTAAATTCAGAGTCATTTTAGATATTACAATTTAAAATAAATGAATTAATTTAAATATTAATAGGATAATTACTCTTTAAATATGTCAATTTAAAATTGTATGTTTTACCTTTTTAACTTTGAATATTAAAATATAATTATATACTTTTGTGTATTTTAAATTAAAATAATATTTATTTAATTTGAATAACAAAAGGAATGTATATCTGTTTAATATTTTAAATTTAAAAGATATTATTATCTATTTAAATTTATATATTAAAAGATATCTTGTTGGAGTAAATCTCTCGAATGAAATATTTTAAATTTAAAATATATCATTATCTATTTAAATTTAGATATTAAAAGAGATTAAATTTAGATATTAAAAGAGATTTAGTTGGAGAAGAACCCTCTCGAAATTCCCCTCTAAATACCGAGCAAATCTCTCAGTTTTTCACAACTCAGAACTCAAGAAGCTTTCTTCTCTTGAAAATATTTTCTCATTCTCAGAAAATATCCATTTTCCCTTAGTTTTGTAACATCCTAAAACAGGGCTAGTGACTAAAATGTGGATTTTGAAAGTTCTGGGTTTAATTTTGAAATAAGTTAAAAGTTTAGGGACTTTATTGGAAACATTTTGTGATGGATGATTTAGTAAAGAATGAAAGAAAGAAGGGTAAAATGGCCATTTAACAAGAAAGATTTTTATCTTTCTTTTTGTAGGCTATATAAACGTGGGAAATGAGGGAAAATTTCCAGAGAACTCTCCATTCTTCTTCTTTCTCTTCACCGTGAGAGCCAAAGCAAAGGTAAGTTGATTTCATCTTGTTAATTCCTTGAATTTATAGGTTGGGTTGGAATAATTGGGTGTTATATAAGCTTAAGGAAAGCTTATATAAACTTAAAACAATAAGATGAGTGAATTATGATGGGATTTGTAAAATGAGTTTTAAAGATAATTTTGATATGGTTTGGTTTTTAGGGTTTTGATGAGTTTTTTGACTTGACATAAGAAGAATTAAGAAGTCTAAAGCATTAGAATTGAATTTGGATCATGTTGATATTTTGGTATGATTCTTAGCTTTAAGAATTTGGATGAAATATGGGAGATTATAAGGTGTTGGAATGCTAGAAATTTATTATAATGGTTATAGATGAGTTTGATAGCATAATAAAGGGTTTATACATGAAAATTTGGGTAAAGTATTGAGGAATTTTGGGTAAAAATAGCCTATTCTGGGCAGGTGCATCGGTACACTATGAATATGCACCGATGCACTAAGACCAATTTTGAAGGTGCATCGATACATTAAAGGGTGCATCGATGCATGGGTATTTCGAACCTAATTTGTGTATCGATGCATCCATAGTGTATCGGTACACCTTTAAAGGAAAAAGTGAATATTGGTCTATTAAATTCGTTCAAGTTATTAGCATCAAATTATAAGGTGTAGATATATGATAATTATATTAAAATGTATATTTATGTAGATATCGAGCACGTACAAGTTCTAGAACGATCATCAAGTTAAGATTCGATCGAAAGAAAAGAAATCATAAAAGTGGATTGGAACTTAGTGAGGCCAAGGTGAGTGCATATTAGATAGCATATGATGTTTAATGGAAATAAGACTTGCGATAAGTCTATTTCCTATAGTGTTATGCATGAATTCATGAACCTGAGCATGTATTTGCTATGAGTGTCTGAGCTATATGTTATTGTATGTGTGTGACATGATTTGAATGAATGATATGAATATGTGATATACGCGTATAAGAGATTAAGTGAATGAACCTTGATGATAAACATGATAATATATATATGTTTTTGTAATCCATGCAAAGTAATATGATCTGTTTGATATATGAATATGAAATCATATGAGAAGTGACATGAATTACATGAATAATAAATTAAGTGTTTACATGTATATGTGATATGTGATTTATATGGAAGTGAACTATGTGATATGAGATATATGAAAGAGAAAGTACATATGATAGGTGAATCATATGAAATGTTCTACATGTAAGTGATCAACGTGTATATATGAAATATGTGAAATGATATAAATCATAATGCCCATGTTCTATGAAATGAGAGCTAGAGGTATAGTTGGCATGCCAAGAGGCGAGGGATTTTCAGTGGTCCTTCGGGACATAGTGGTCCTTCGGGACAAATATTCAGTGCCCATAGTGGGAATTATTCGAGCTATGGTGACATCATTAATGCGCAACCTCAATAGACTCACATATCATTAGTTCTCCAAAGTGTACATGGGCCAGTAAAGATATAATATAAATAAGAAGTAATATGATTGTTATATAATTGTGTAATTGGAAGTGAGTGTATTAGTTGAATGTATTGCATATGTTACATGGTTTAATGCTATAATTTATGATTGTTTGATATGTTGGATTATAAGGAAATAAAATGAGCTTATATGATAAGTTATGAGTAATTGCTTGAGAAATGTTGTGAACTCCATAAGTATAAGTATATGTAATGGGGGAGTGAACTATAGGATTATATGAATATAATAATTAGGATTGTAGTGTGAAATATACTCTGCGAATGAAATAGTATAATGGAAGTTATATTAGAATATATACAAAGAAAATAATATATCAAATAGAAAATATATATATATGAATAAGAATAAGAATATATGAGATAAGTTGTATAGGAAACACTATATATTTCAATGAAAATATCATAGGAGTTAATTTACGATAAGTTACTAAAATATATATGTTTATGTGATAACTTATACGAAAAATGAATTAATAGAATATAAGGAGTTGTTATACAAGAATATGATATAGAGTTTGTCACCAAAACCTATGGGTATATGATCGATAGAACTTATGGAATAAGGGATAAGATATGTGATTTTGGGATATAAATTATATGATTAAGAATTATATAGAAGAAATGATTAAATGATAATAGGAAAATGTGATAAGCTGAGTGGGATAAATACACAGGACTTTATGGACATGAAAGAGTATATAAGCATAGATGATATGTTGATGTATATGTATGTATATATGCATTATGTGGAAGTGTATATGAGGTTGTTTGATATGATAGTAGAAAACCTGCATTCATTGTTAGGAGTCATGGTTACGTTATATATTTTATATGCCTCACTAAGTCATCGACTTAGCGTGTGATTGTTTCACACGTAGGTTCCGGAAAGCGAGAAGAGACGTTAAGAGGAGCAAGACAGGTCAGCTCTCCTTTACAAAGTTTAGATCAGAAAAGAAATATATGTGATTATGTATTTTGTTATGTTAAATGTAGTTAGCATGTACTAATTGATATAGTTGAATATGCTCTGATAAGATTTGTAGAACCAAACGGTTTCTTTTATGTAAAACAACAAATT